GGAATCGAACCCGGGACCCTTCAGTCTGCAGGCCGATGCTCTATCCACTGAGCCAAACCAGTTAGGGCCACAGCTCACGTCTTAATGCTCTAGTGCAAAGTGGGGACACACCTAGATCCACTGAACTGGCATCTGGGTGAAGGAAGAGCAATGGGACAGTAACTGTTTTTTTAAAACTCCCCAGGTAATTCTGACACCGGTCAGCCCCACCCACTTCCACAATACCCACATGTGGGATTTCCTTTAGGGGTCCCCAGGGGGGCTTGAACCCCAACATAGGGACGCCTGGGCTGGGTGGGGACCCATACAGCCGGAGCTGGTCTGCAGAGGCCTAACTCCTAGGCTCTCGACATCACACCCAAACTCTTCAAATGTTTCATTATACACCTGGCAGTGGGCATTCACTCCCTCACTTGGTCATTCATTCATTCATTCATTCATCAAACACACAACAGTGCCTCAGTGGGTAAGGTCTGGGTAAGATCTGTGGGGTACACACTGCCTCTTGAGCCTGGGGCCTGGGATCGCTGGTATCGAGCTGGATCTTTAAAGGGCAGGGCCCAGGCAGAAAATACCTCTGCAGCAGTGGACAAAACCTGAACCAGAGTAGGGGCCAGACTCCTTCAGCTCCAAAAGAAGGTACCAGCTCCGAGGAGTGAGCCCCTCTCTTCCCTTGCTATGGGGAGGGGCATGGGCCTGTGGACTAAGAAACCACCAGACAGCTTCCAGGTTAGTCAGCTAAGGAATCTTTCTGAGCCTCTGGGGTCAGCTGTGTGCGTGTGTGTTGGGACGGGGTAGGGTTAGGCCTGAGAGGTAGAGCCCCCAAATTTAAAAATGAACTTCAGCCGTCAGTGTTGCTCAGTGGTTGGCACCAGCCTATGAACCAGGAGGTCACGGTTTGATTCCCAGTCAGGTCACATGCCCAGATTGTGGGCTCGATCCCCAGTGTGGGCATGCAGGAGGCAATTGATGATTCTCTCTCAACATTGAAGTTTCTATCTCTCTTTCACTCTCTGAAATCAATAAGAATATATTTTTTTAAAAAGAAAATAGCCCTAGCTACTTTGGCTCAGTGGGTAGAGCGTCGGACTGGGGACTGAAGGGTCCCGGGTTTGATTCTGGTCAAGGGCACATGCCCAGGTTGCAGACTCAATCCCCAGTGGGGGATATGCAGGAGGCAGCCGATCAATGATTCTCTTTCATCGATGTTTTTCTCTCTCTCTCTCTCCTCTCTCCCTTTCCCTTCCTCTCTGAAATCAATTAAAATATTATTTAAAGACGAAAGAAAATAAATAAGAAGGAACTTCCTTCTCCCTCCTTTCTCCTTTTCCCCACCGGCTCCCTGAAAATAGAAGCCCAGGCCTCTCCCTTTTCACACTAAAGGTGGGCAGGGCTGAGGGGGACGTATGAGGAGGGTAGGTGAAATGGGAGACAAAGAGCAAAGTAGGGGAGTCTTGCTGGGAAGCAACAATAATTCTGGGGTGGGATGGGGAGGTGGGCTCTACTTCAAAAGTCGGAGACAACATCCAGGCGTGGCCCTGCCTCCCAGCACTGCAGGCGGAAGACCTCAGGATTGGGGTGGGGAGCAAGGACAGCTCACTCCATCCTCTCCTCAGCCACCCTAACCCTTCCCCAGCTGGCCCAAGGCCGAGTCATTCCTCAGTTAACTTCCCTGCGAGCTATCTCGTGGCCTGGTCCATCCCTTCCGCCCCCCCACTCCAGATCACTGAGAGATGCCCCAGTGCCTGGAGAGGTGTCCCCACTCTGGCAACCACCCTGTCACCACCTGGGACCCCAAAGGTGAGGGAGCACAGCTGGGCAGTCTTGGGCATGTTACACAGGGGTGTGCACAGGTGTTGTGAGATGGAATTACGGCAGACACATGTCAGCGTAGGAGGCCACGTTCTGTAGGGAGAGGCTGTGGTTCATGTGAAGGAGAGCAGAAGGCAATTGCCTGGCGCCCAGCTCCTCAAAGTACGACATGGAGAGATGCTAGGATGCAGCAGGACACGGGGTTGTGGTTCTGAGGTGGGGGGCGGGGAAGCAGCAGCTGGGTACCTCCAGGCTTGGCTAACAATGGGCTCGAGCACCAGCCTGCACTGTATTTGAGGGACAAAGGACAGGAATTGGGAGGGGGTGGGGTGCATCTGACCAGCCTAGTCCCAGCTGTCCACCTCGTGGCCAGAGGTGCTGGAGGTCCCTGGAATATTACCCTCACTCCCCTGCTCCTCACAGGCCAGCTGCTGCTCGCCCCCAGCTCAGGGGTATTAAAACACAAAACCAAAAAACTGCCCCGCTCATTCATGCCGAAGACAAAGAGAAACCTTGTTTGTCTTTTGGCTAAGCTGAGGCCCCTGCTCAACCCGGCAGCTGGGCTTTGGGCATGTGCAGGCATGTATTGTGTGTGTGCTTGCATGTGCCCCTGTGTGTACTCTGGGAACACGGATTGTTAACCCTCTGGTCGGTGGCTGCTCGTGGCCCGGAGGCTGGCAAGAAAGTCTCCTTGCCCCAGTGGTGGAGGACCTGGGAGGCTGCGTCCAGGCCCAGGAGCGAGGCCTGGAATTCCCTGTGGCCAGAGCCAGTGGGTCACTAAGGAGGCCGTGGGGTCCGCCAGGGGAAGTGATCCTGGCCTTTCTGCTTCTCCAGCTCCATGAGGGCCCCTGAGAACCCAGAACCCTATAGGACATGAAGACAGAAAGACAGGTCTAGGGTCATTTCCAAGGCTCTTAAATCCCTGGGCGCCTAGAGGACAAGTGTCAAGCGTGAGAGGTTCTCGCCACCTCGTGGGGACATGCGGTACTACTAAGTCCTGGACAACCAGGCTGGTGGGGAAGGAGAAAAACTGCTGGAACGTCCACTAGGGGTTGGGCTGGCGCTGACTATCCTCACACTTCCATGGGCACAAGGGGTCTGGTAGGGAAATCCACCCAATACCCACCCAGGCTGGCCCAGCCCCACCTGCAGAGGCAAACCTGATGCCTCAGAGGCTGTCGGACCATGCAACTTCAAGCAGTGATGGCGAACCTATGACACGCGAACTCATTTTTTGGGGTTGATTTTTCTTTGTTAAATGGCATTTAAATATATAAAATAAATATCAAAAATATAAGTCTTTGTTTTACTATGGTTGCAAATATCAAAAAATTTCTGTATGCGACACGGCACCAGAGTGAAGTTAGGGTTTTTCAAAATGCTGACACGCCGAGCTCAAAAGGTTCGCCATCACTGACTTAAAGGAAGGTTTGCAGGAGGAATGTTAGCGCTCATCTGTCCTAAGGAGAGCCCCGGAAGGGAGGGGCCCTGTCTGAGACCCCACAGCACCTCCATCACAGAGGGCAGTTACACTGAGGGTTGTTGACCTCAAGGTCCATGCATTTCCCATAGGTCCAGGGAGTCCAAGACAGTGTCCAGCCTGAAGCCCGACCTACCGAGGCCCAGATCAAGAGCAGCACAGTGAGAGTTCTTGCCTCGGGTTAGCCCGTGGGAGGGCATCTGGGACATGAGGAAGAGATGAAGCTGCAAGTGGGGCTCTGGGCTGATCCGGATCTTGATATTAAAGGGCAATGAGTAACAGTAGCTTCTATGGGGCAAATACTGTGCTTAACATTACAAACATTGGCGTATTTAATACAATGGCCCTTTAAGGAAGGCACCTGATAATCCTTTTTAAAAAAATATATATATTTTATTGATTTTTTACAGAGAGGAAGGGAGAGGGATAGAGTCAGAAACATCGATGACAGAAAAGCATCGATTAGCTGCCTCCTGCACACCTCCTACTGGGGATATGCCCGAAACGAAGGTACATGCCCTTGACCGGAATCGAACCCAGGACTCTTCAGTCCCCAAGCCGACGCTCTATCCACTGAGCCAAACCGGCTAGGGCTAATCCTTTTTTTTAGATAAGGAAATTGAGGCACAGAGAAAAAACTTGCCCTGGGTTACAGCTGGTAAGTGGCCAAGCAGGGATCTGTGTATAGCGATTTTGACTCCAGTGAGTAAAAAGGCTCTGAGTGAAAAAAAAGCATGATTTGCTTGCTCCCTCCTAGGAAACCCAGCAGGGCACCGCCAACTCCAGCCCAGGGACTCCCTCCAGCCAGAGGAGCTGCCTTTCCTCCAGGAGGCATGGCCTCGGTGCGCCCTCTGCCGGGCACAGGAGGAACAAAGAGTTCCCTGCTGCTTGGTCAGACCCAGGCCTGAGTCCTGGAGATGACTGGCAGGGACCAAGCTCTCCTCCCAAACACAGGCCAGAAAGGGGCTGGCTGACCACCACTGCAGAGCCCCCAGCTTGTCCACATCTACTCACCTGCAGAAGGGGGGTCTGGTCCTACCCCTGGTTTCTCAGCGCTTCCCTCTCTTGGAATCTTGTCCACCTTCCCCTAAGGCAGTTCTCAACCTGTGGGTCGCGACCCCTTTGGTATTGGAACGACCCTTTCACAGGGGTCGCCTAAGACCATCCTGCATATCAGATATTTACATTACGATTCATAACAGTAGCAACATTATGAAGTAGCAACGAAAATACTTTTATGGTTGGGTCACAACACGAGGAACTGCATTTAAAGGGCCAGAAGGTTGAGAACCACTGCCTAAGGCAGCCATGGGCAAACTACGGCCCACAGGCAGGATCCAGCCCATTTGAAATGAATAAAACTAAAAAAAAAAAAAGACCGTTCCCTTTTATGTAATGATATTTACTTTGAATTTATATTAGTTCACACAAACACTCCATCCATGCTTTTGTTCCGGCCCTCCGGTCCAGTTTAAGAACCCATTGTGGCCCTCGAGTCAAAAAGTTTGCCCACCCCTGGCCTAAGGCATGTTGGTCCTAGGCCCATTCCAGGACCTGGACCATGGACCAGGTGGGTATAACCAGAAGGGCCCACAACAGGCCCCTGAGGAGGTGGGATCCATTCAGAGCATTGCCATGTGGGCAAGGGGTAGACATGCTGTTATACTGAAATTCAGCGAGTCCAATAGAAAACGCCACAACCAGAGGGTCGAATTTTAGAGCTTTTATTTCAAAGCCGACGGCGACCACAAAAGGCTATCGCCACTCCAAACCTCGAGGTCCCAAAATGAAGTTAGGGGTAAGCTTATAAAGGCAAAAAGAGCAAAAACCCCTCTGGGATTGGTGCTGTGAGACCCCACGTCAAGGTCTGGCCTGGCACCAGCCCTGACAATTCCGTCTGGGAGCGTCAGTTTATGGCCTTCCCAAGGTGGTAACAACGCTTAAGCAAACAGGTCCTGCAAGATAGATGATTTAAGAGGGAGCAGTGACCAGGCCATAGACTGATTAAGAACGTACACCAGATTTCCAACACAGGCCCAAATTTCCAGCCCCCCACCCCCCTTCACTTTCCCATTATTCAAGCAAGCATATTTACAGAAGCTAGAAATAGCATAGTTACTTATCTGGTTTAGTTATATCCTGGAATTAACAGGTCAATGGACCATCTGAGCCTGAGAGGAAATCCTAACAAAATTTATGGGAATGAAAAGGGATGCCTAAGGTTCAGGTAGAGGGCAAGGGGATGAAAGGAGTCAGTTCTTTCAAGGTCCATTCTTCAATGGGAAGCCAAGAGAGCCAGGGAAATGACCCATCCCTACAGGCTGGACCCTCATAAGTCAAGGGTGAGGAAAGGTTAGTCAGGACTGGGGTCACTGTAGGCAAAAAAGCATGAAGGAACAGGTGTCTGGGAGTGCCCATCTTGGCCAACTTTGTTTGAATCTGGAAATAAGGGCAGCACCCCATGTTTGGGTTAATTGCCTCAGGAATACCCCTGGGCCCAGCAAACCAGGGGCTTAGTCATGGGCCCTGTATCAGAGGCATGACTGTACTCCAGGCACTAATAAAGGACAATTCACACTTTATTTGTAACTGCCTTTGACATGTACAAAAACTCTCAGTCCCCCACCCCCCATCTGGGGAACAAACAGTAGGTTCTGGAGAGAGAAGGTATAAGAATGAGGCTTTGAAGTTCATAGAAGGTCCTGTTACCCTGAGTAAAGGGCATCCATATAGGCTGAAACTTGGCCGTCCTCCCTCCCCGCCAGCCCATCTGTGAATCTACTGGGCCCTCCTTCTTGAAGCAGCTTCCCCCTCTCCCCCCATGGACTGGCCATGGAAGGAGACCCAACCCCTTCTCTTCAGTGTTTCAACTTCTTGTCCTACTTTTGCCATCCTTGAGATTCTATGCCTGGAGAGAGAACACCAATGCCCATCACTTCTCTCACCTAACTCCCATAAGCCTCCGCCTAACTCAGGGTGCTCAACACAGACTCCTAAGAACTGAGTGCCCCAGTGACCTCACAGCTGGCTGGGTCTGAGAGCAGGACAGTAGGCATGAGTGCTTATCTGTGTAAAGCAGAGTTGGTGGTGCCATTGTGGCAAGATGTGAGGAGGCACAGGGCTTCTGGGTGTGCCCGAAAGAGGGGGAAGAGAGCCCCAGGAAACCAAGGATAGGGGCTTATTTATCGAAGAAGTCAACATGGGCTCCAGACTTGAACATATCTTTTTGAAGCAAGTTTAGCAGTTTCTGGGCTGACATCTTACAATCCACCAGCTCCCCCTTTGTCTTCAGCTCCTGCAGCCTTTTCCGCAAGTCTGGGTCCACAGAGGTCTCCCGGGCCACCTGCTGCATGTCTGTATCCAGGGGCCCTAGGGGATAAAGAGCAGAAGATGAGGGGGCCCTGCTGTGTGTGTGAAGTGGGGTGGAGTCAAGTGTGGCCAGAGGCAACACTTTATCTTGGCTAACACGTGTGGTCAGAGGCTTCACTCTGTCACTATTGAGCTCAAATTCCAATGCCGACTGAACACGGTCCCTCCAGACCACCCGGTGTACAGCCAAACTTATTATCTCCTGTCCAACCAGCGCCTCCTCCTAAGGTGACGTCAGTGAACTTATAGGCATTTTCTGTTTTTCCTATCAGAATCTGGAGTTAATGGGCCTCAGGGGCACAAAGTAAAGAAATCCCGTGGCTGCAAAAGCCAGCCTCCTGATCCTTGAATGTCTTTCAATCACCTGTGCATTCCTAGTAAGTGGGGACTTGCTACTTTGCCAAACAGCGTCCGGCCCCCTCTCCCCCACTTTGGACACCGGTTACAACATTCTTGCAGAGACTGAAATGAAACCACGACCTTCATTCAGGCCCTGGCAGCCTTGCAAAAAGTTCAACTTCCTCCTAGTTCCCAGAGTCCGCTGGGATCTAACCCAGTCACATGGCATTCTGGAGTCTGCTCCACTCCTGGCTGTGGTTCTTATTTGCGCACAGTTGACTAAGTCCTAGGCTGAGCTCAGATTGGCGGCTGAGTTGCCTATTGGCTGGAAAAGTAACCGAGTATGTGTTAGGGAGAACGGGGTACTGGAGAGCATGAGGAAGTAGAAATGGCACTGGTCATGAATTTGGAGGTGAAGTTTGATCCTGGGACTTTGATCCTTGGACTTCTGCCACATCTGAACTTTGGTCAGGTCATTCTACCCCTAGGCCTCCAGGGTGCCAAGAGGAAGAGACTATTGGATCTCTAAGCTGCTCAGACATTAAACAATAGTTGTCACCACCTTCTAATTGCAGCAACGTCAAGCCTCGCTTTTCAGAAAGGCACAGTGGCATCATGATCGGGCTGCGAGAAACCACGCATCACAAGATCCCCGACACTTTAACCTCTGGGAGGGCCCTACCTTATTTACCCCAGAATTTCCCCCACCCCCAACCAGTGTTCCAGCACAGTTCAGGCCGATACCGTCTGCATTCAACAATGTCTGTGTGTTCTTCACTCAACTAGCATTTTCTGCAGACTGATTCAATGGGGTGCTCTGCTACGTGCTGGAGACATGCAGGCACATTCCCCGCCTTCAAGGCTTTCCTATCAAGCTAGAGAAGCATACAAATGACGTTAATATAGTGTGGTAACTCCTATCTAACAATCTGAAGTGCTAACAATTAGATCGCCCTTCACCATGAGGGATTTTCACCTATATTTCCTGATTCAGTCCTCCTAACTGCCCTGAGAGACAAGCAGGATCTTCCGTTTTACATGAGGAAATGGGGTACAGGCTGGAATTCAAGCCGTCTCTCAAACTCTAATAGCTCAGCCTTTCTGCTCCCCACTCTCTCTCCCCACCCTCTCACTATGGCTCCCTGCTCCTGCCAGGTCTAACGTCCTTGGGCCCTTTATTTCCCTTAAGGAATGATTCAGGGACACTATATTTGGAGGGACCAGACTAGGCCCCTTGCCCAGCCCCCAGAGGGGAACCAGCTGGTTCTGGGGGACAGGGATGGCAGTAACGTCCCACCTACCTGGAGCATAGCTCAGCACCCTCACACCAGGCTCCTCTGAGGCCAGCACCTTGAACATCATCTCACGGGCAGCCTTCCCCGCACAGTACAGTGTCCAGCCCTTGAAGGGCTGCAGCGCACAGAGGGAAGAGATGTTAACCACAGTCCTGCTGAGGCCAGGACTGTCCGGGAAGGCCCTCAGGATGCAGGAAGTCAGGCAGAGCATGGAGGTTAAGTTCAGAGCCCAGTAGCTGTTCATTTCAGCAGCATCGGCCAGGTTGACGAAGCCTTTGGACACATCCCCAAGCGTGCCTGAAAAACCAGACCTTAAGGATCACCCAGTGCAAGCGGGCTTTCTCTTCTCCCGGCCCTCTCCAAATTCCTCCAGACACCGCCTTCCCATCCAGACCTATCGGAGCCGTCTCCCAGGGGCTTCTGAAGGCGCCTCTCCCTTGGCAGCTCTGCAGACGCACACACCCGGGGCGCCCACTCACCCCAAGTTGCAGACGGAGAAGGCCCTGGTCCGGGACTGGGTGAGAACTCTGGGGCCATTAGCAGAAGCGGGGAAATTTCCTAGAACTGGGAGACCCACACCCGGACTCAGGCCTCCGCCAGAGGGCGCCGAGCAGGACGATCGGGAAAGTTCCACGGGGCTCCAGGAAAACCTGGCCTTTAACCGGGAGGGGCGGAGGGCGGAAGGCGAATGGGGCGGGGGGCATGGAATGCAATGCGCACAGGGTCCTCCTCCACACCTCAGGGAAACAGCCAGGCTTTCGGGCGTCTTTTCTGACGCCGAGCAGTCACCTTTAAAGTTCCCAGCGCCGGGGGCAGCGAGCGGGAGAAGGGAAGGGCGCTGAGCATTCCCAGCGCCCACCCGGGGAGTCGGTGCCCGCCGGCGGGCGTCCTACCTGCAT